CTGGAGCGGGAGACACAAGGGCGCTCCTGGGTCACCGGGGCAGGAGCAGGTGAGGCTGGCCTGCTCAGGTGGGCGGGGGGGTGGAGGGGGGCCGGCCAAGCACAGCGGGCTGCTGAGGAGCGGTCCTCCAGATGCAAGTGTCAGAAACCCACTTCGATGTGGCCCCAGAGCCAACTCCGGGGCCTCCAGAGGCGGTCTTCCTCCTGGCCACCACGGGCCCTGCTGTGGGCAGGCCCACGCGGCTCCAGACACAGTCTACGCCAAGCGCACGGTCGCAGTAAGAGTCCACTCTGAACGACCGCTGCTATTTGCCGCCTAGAAAATGCCCATCCTTCAGGGCCATGGAAAACTCGTCACGCTAATTCTAAGAATTGCACGTAAATAATGTGGTTTTAAAAGCCTGCATGTTTCATTATCCTCCGCGTCTGTTTAAATGTAACGAGACATCGCTTCTCCGTGGCTAACTGGAAAAAGCATCTTATTTCCCTAATTTGTGACATTGCTCTAAGAAGCACATAACCAGAGGGCAGATAATATAATAACCACGAAGGAAAAGTCACTTGGTAGACGATAAACTTATCAGTAGAAAAGGCCCAATAGGGATATTTGAATATCATTCCCCTAATAAACTCACTGCACCCTCCATGGTAGCCACGGGCCCACAGGTCAGAACTTGTGTGTCTTCATGTAATAGATTGAGTGAGCTCAACACCGGACAGGAGACCAAAAAAACAAGCAGCCAAAAACTTACGAATTTTTACTTTCAAACAATGACATCGGATAAAAACAGTAATTACCAATTTCGACAAAATCTTCTGACTCCCATGAGGTTCCAGGAGATGCTCTGGGCACCGACACCGAGAGGGCCCCAAGCCCTGCTCTCCGGGAGCCGACAAACAGGGTGAGCGAGTGGCGTCACGAACAAGCAGTCAGGCCGCACACACCAGGCGTGAATGGGGTAGGAGAGCGTTGCAGGCATATGGCGTGTCTGATGAGGCAACCTCCCAGGTAAGGTCTAAAGGCCCAGAGGGACCCAGACCCTCAGGGGTCACGGGCGAGGGAGAGATGGGGATCCGGTCAGCTGTTCGGAGCAGCTGGCTCTGCGGCACGTGCAGCTCTCGCACCAGAGCTCGGCCGAAACAGACACCGCGGAGGTCTGCTGTCCCCTGGGGCCCGCTCCACCGTGGGGACGGGCAGGGGGCGGTGACCCTCTGACCGAGGCTGTGCCTCTGCTCTCTGGCCGAGAACCGCCGGGTGACGGCCATCCAGCCCAACTCCATCCACTCCGCTCACTTCCAGACCTCCCTCTCGGCAGGTAGGCGAGCCTGAGGCCCCTGAATCTAGCTGAGCTCCCATAAAACAGGGATTTCCGGGCCGAGCTAGCCCAGAGAACAGGCAGGCTGAAGATTCTAAAAGCAATTCAACGGCGAGCAACAAACGGAACGGACCCTCCATCAAAGACCCGCGTGTGGCAAACCAGCACACGTAACGACGCACAACATCAGTCACCAGGGAAAGGCAAGCTATAAGCCCGCAAGATACCATCCCACACCCGCCAGAAAACGGCTGACATTAAAAAGCCTGCCGGTACCGCTAAGGATGCAGCACAAGACCTCCCACGCACCGCTGGTGGGCACGCCGACCGGTACGGCCACCTTGGAGAATCGTTTGGCGGTCTCTAATGAAGTGGACACACACCCACTTACACCACACAAGCACCCTGCTCCTAGGTCCTCGCCGCAGAGGGGCGAGCAGGGGCCTTCACTAGATCTCCACACAAAGGTTTGTAGCACATTTTTTTTTGTGTGAAGACCCACGCTTGGAAAGAGCCCAGGTGTCCATCAACCGACAAACGGGTCACCATGCCAGGACACGTCCAACAACAGCGTCCTACCCAGCAGCAGTGCGACAACGTGGACAAGCGTCTAAGCACTAAGAGAAGGTGCTCACGAAAGTCCGGAATTTGTGGGATTCCGTCTGCATGCAATTCTTAAAAGGCAAAGCTCCAGAGACACAGAAAGCAGATCAGGACTTACACGGGCAGGGGTGGGGACAGGAGGCTGACAGCAAAGGAAGCGAGCCCGCTTTTCAGGGTGACGGAAGTGTTCTATCGTGATTCAAGTGGCTGTCACAGTCCCAAGCACAGGTGTCAAAACCAATCTAAATGCACACTTACAATGGGTACATTTTACTGTCCGGCCACCAGACCTCAACAAAGCCCACAGGAGGAAGCGGACAGTTGGGGGGGGGGGAGCGGGTGGCGAACCGAGCGGACTGCGCATCCCCTACTGAAGGGACAGGAAAGCGTGGGTAGATGGGGGATGTGCCGAAACCCTTCTTCTGGGCGGTCAGAAGGCCCAGACGTCAGCGAGGCACACGAACCAGCTAAAATCCGAGTCACGCTGTCCCGGTTCCAGACGGTCAAGTACAACCACGTGACTAAGTTCCGGCCCGCGGGACAGAAGCACAGGTACTGGGAGCACCTTCTAGGGAAGAGCGGCAAGGGGAGGGGCACGCCTTCCTCACTCCTGCACGTGGAAGGGAAACGCGGTGCGGAGAAGCTACAGCAGCAGCCGGGGCCGCAGGGGGTGACGCCAAGCACAGCGGCAAAGCCGCCTCACCGCCGGGGGGAGCCCGCGCGGGAGACAGGAACGCACCCCCGTCCCGCCAGGCCGCCTGCTGTCTGCGGCAGACCCCTCTGAGCCGAGCCGCCACGACCCTGCGAGCTCTACTCTACGAGCGACGTGTCAAGTGGTAGGAAAAATATAAAAATGACGGTAAACCGAAGATCTGTGGCAGACTCTATTTTCCATTAAAAAAAATAAGTAAAAAAGAGGTCACGATATGTTCCCCCTCGTTTTGCAGATACGGTTAAGCACAACCATTGAGAAGGACAATCAAAAACAACCGCCTCGAGATGCCTGCTTCTGTGGGAAACTAATTCTCCCCTTTTGTGTGCTATAATCGACAGACACTTCTGCTTTCATAATCCAGGATTTTCGTTCAACAAACTTACTAAGCATATAAGAGACAGGAGAGTTTAAAAGTGCGTTTGCCGGAGCACTCGAGACGCAAACAAGTGTTTCAAACCGTAAGTAAAAAACATTCCACTTTAAAGAGATACCATTTACAAGAATAACAAAAAAACGTGATAACTAAGAATAAATCTAATAAAACACATACAAGACCTTTCCCGGGACAAATTTTACAAGTACGCTGAGGGGCGTCACAAATGGCCTAAAAATGGAGACGGTGCATATTCATGACAACAAAGAGGATTCCGTAAAGACGTCAATTCCCCCCATCTGATCTACAGATTCTGCGCAAGCCCAGCCACGAATCAGACAGACAGTGAAGACAAAAACGGGACAAGCAATCCCAGGAGTCTGACTGTGAGAGTCGGGTGGGAGCGCACAGGCCTGAGGCCTGGAGAGGACCAAGGGCACCAGGGTCCCGGCAGCCGTGGGACTCGGTACGAGGCTGAACTCGCCGGCAGGTGGGTGTCGAGAGAAGACCCCTTGAATTCTAGGACAAGACAGAGAACAAAGACGCACGTATGCAGACGTAAGGAGGACGCACACCAGAAGGGATGCTGCAAACACGGGGAGACAAGCTGGAGGCCACACGTGAGGCCGGGCCTGACGGGTCACTTCAGGGGAGAGCTCACTGGAGGGCGACCTCACCTCGTAAGCAGCCGGTGAGTACAGACGAACGAAAAACGGGAGTGTGAAGGACAAATGAGCAAAGCTTCAGGTGAACCTATGGGAGCGGACTGACTACACAGGGTACGTGTAGATCTCTCAAGAAAGGCACAGCGGTGCCAACCAGAAATGAAGGGGCCGAGAAGTTCGGCCACACTGAAACGAAGAACTTCCGGTCGTCAACGCCACCCAGAAGGAAGTGAGAAGCAGCCACGGGATGGGAGAGGACGCGTGTGACGTGCAAGCTGACAAAGATTTAGAATCCCTAACACATTAGGATCGGCAGCCAATAAAAAACTAGATCAACCGCCCACAAGAAAAATGGGCAAAAGACAGAGAGCAGCACCCCCCCAAAAAGGGACCACGGAAACATTAACAAGGAAGAGATCACGGCCACCAGTAAGGAGAGACGCGGAGATGACGACCAGGAGGAGAAGGCCCGCTGGCGGGACAGGAATGAGGAGGACGAGGGGCGTGGTCACAAGGCGTGGACGAGAGTGAGGGGGACACGGAACGTGGACGTGGGGCGTGGACGAGGAGTGTGGACAAGAGTTAGAACGACAAGGAGCGTGGACGTTGACCGTGGATGTGGGCCGTGGATGAGGAGCATGGACACGGAGTGCGGGACTCGAACACCCCACAGGCGAGCGTCTGAGGATGGCAGCTCCCCCGGGAGCACACTGACACCAGCCTGACAGGCTCCCAGGCTCACCCCCACCCCCACCCCAGCACAACCGTTCTACTTCTCCTCAATGCCCCAGGGAAGGGCCTGATCACAACACGTCAGACACGACCCAGATGTCCGGCGACAGGAAAAAGCCACAGAAAGTGTGCAATATTTGACTGACAGACGATCACCCAAGAGGACACACAGATGAGCTGAATGTTAGCAAATGATGTGGAAGAAAAACACGAGTTGCAGAGAGAAGGCCACGGGACACGTGCTGAGGTCACGGGATCACAAAGTCAGGGGGCCGCTCACGTCGTGGGGGCCCTTCAAGAGCAGGGTAGGCACCGTGGGCGGCTCCAACGCCACGGGTCCGACATGAGTGGGGCTCTCCCCTCAGGTGGGGAAGGACACACACGCGCACTCCACGCACGCCTACCCGTGTCTTCCGTACGCGTCAACGCCACACACAAAACAGCGACTCCTGTCCGTGATTACGTTCTGAGAGCCACCCCACACGTGCTGTGGGTAAAGCACCCCAACTGCACAAACCACGTCGCTAGTTCCGTGGGCACCCACCGCCCCGACCCAGGGAGACACCGTCCACAGGAACTTGCGATCCTGGCTCTTACCTCCGTCACTTTGGGTTGAAGTATTAACGCCTCCGGACTCATTCGAGGGATGTCTATGTGGATCTGCGGATGCAGGGAGAGAGGTGTTATTTTCAAAGATGACAAATGTCGGCGTAAGTGTGACGGGAAAAGCAGTGCTCAACGGCGATGAACTGACCCGGGACTCTAACCCGCTCCCGCCCTGAAAGTACCGACTCCCTCCGTGGCCGAGTGCTCGAGGGGGCAGGTTGTAGCCGCACAGGCCCAGCACGAGGGCTTGCCGACACTTCCCGCGCAAACACTTGCTGCCCGATCAGGAAGAGAGCAGGCCCTCAGCTATTTAGTAACAGAATCCATAGCAATTAGTAAACATTGATTCCCGGCCTCGGACACAGGAGCAATTCAGGTACATCAATAGCGTACGCGTTTTCGGCCGTGACAGCTTCTTCTTGGCGCCCAGGCCACGTTTTTCTCCGCTTCACAGAGTCCGTGGGGACCCGGGGCACTTTTCAAAGGAAGCACTTAAAAACCTCTGCCAGCATCGGCCGATCCCTGCTTGCGCGCCGCCTGACCCGAGAGCCCTAACGAAGCCCCCGACACGGCAGACGACGACACCCGCAGATCCAAGCAGCAGCGAGTAAGAACGTTCGGGGCTTGAGCTGGCGCCACGGGCTGGCTCCCAACGTCCCACGGGCACGTCCGCCCCTGGCCAACACCGTCACCGTCCCCGGTCACCCAGGAGAAGGCCGCAGAGGCCGAAGGAAGACGTGCACATCGTAATGCCGAGAAGGAGCCAACGTTCAGGTTCGTTCCCGTCAGTATGTGCCCACAAGGACTCCACTACCCACGGGAACAGGACAGCATCCTCGCTCTGCCTCACGGGCACGACAGCCTGGGCACCATGACTGAGTCCCGGGGCCCAGCATCCTTGTCTAGAAGGTGGCTGCCGCATCCCCCAGAGGCTTCCCTGGTGAAGACCACCCGAGGTGGGGGCCATCAACCGCGCTGATGCGAGGCGTGGCGGCTGCTTCCCCACTGACGGGTCCCTGCCTGGAGCCCTTCCCTCGGTGAGAACCCGGGCGCCAGCATCCCATCGGCAGCACCCGCCCGGGGAGAGGACCAGGAGGGGCCCGGGGGCCAGTGGACTCGGTGTTCGGGGCGGCACTGAAGGACAGCGGGCAGGAAAGCGAGAGAGGGCAGGAGTCGGCCCGGAGGAAACCATCAGCCCCACGCCCCCTGAGCAACGCGGGGAGGAATGGAAGAAGCGTGGGCCCACGGGCGGCAGTGCCGAGAGGGAGGGGTGCAGTCCAGACCGGGGGCCAGACGACTCTAGTCCGACCGTGTCCCCTGCCCCAGGGTGCCCTCAAGGGCCACCCTCAGAACGCGGCTCCCGTGCCATCACACTCCGGTGGGCGGGCCAGTGGGCACCGTACCTACACCTGCCGTCTGTGCCAACGGGAAGGGGCTGGACACGCGAGGCGGGCCTGCTTGGCGGCAAAGCGAGCCGACATCACTGCCGCGGATTATGGTTTTCTCCGCGATGTTATCGCAGAAACATCTGGGGCATTCACAACAACACGGAAGCTTTTTATTACCTATCATCGTAACTGAATAAAAACACATGCGACCTGTATTTAATTAACTCTCCCTCAAGAAATTCGTAACAGAATACAGTTTGGTAAATCTCACAGATAGATGCTAGGTGTCATCCTTTGGAAGTCTTTTCCTCGAATAAAAATGCATCAAAAACACATCCAAAACAATACCAAGTGGACCCATTCCCTAGAATTAGTGAAGTGGAAAGAGAAACCAGGTAAGCTACTATTGCCCCAACGAAATCCAAGTGCAATCTATCTTAAATCCGTTTCTCAGGGTGCCAGGCAAGCAGCACCTTGCGCCCTGGAGCACCAAGGAGCCAGAGGCAAGGGCCCCGCCCCAGAAGGGCCTCTCCCGGGTCCTTGCTCTCTCGCATGGCGATCGCCCCCCCAAGCTCTACCGTTTCCCCTCCATGAGGAAGATCTTCTCAGAATCCACTTCCCTTGAAGAACTGTTGGTCACCAATCAGAGGGAAGGCCTGTCTTGGGACCTTTGTAAAGATCTACACCAAAGTGACAAAGAGATGTGGAGAGCCCATATCTGAGGCAGAAAAATTCGGCAAGGCTCCTTCACCCAGAAGGAGGGTTTCCAAAAGGAAACATTCAGTACGAACGTGTCTCGGGAAAGTCAGAAGCTGATTGAAGAAACAGGAAGCAGAGCTATCAGTTAAGAACTACCTTTTTGTTTAAACACAGCGCAAAAATGAATGAACGAATGAATGAATGCAGCACAAACCATTCTGCATTTCACACATTACAAAGACAGTAAGAATGACAAAGTCCTCAATGAGCTTTTCTAACAGCAAACTCTGAATGCGCTGTGAACTATAAATCAAATGTAAGGATTCTTCCTTTCATACACACTGTCAACTGTTCAAGAAGCCATAATGACACCATTTTGTGCTCAACGAGGGAGCAGAAATGATACACTGCTACACGTTTTGCTGGAGATGAACTGCACCCCCCCATCCAGCTGCCCAGTCAGCTCTCGTCTACCCACACCCCACCCCTCTGTGCCCCAGAGAGTCAGGGCCCACAAAGCCCACGGAGACTCTCCTCCTCTGATCGGTCCAGCGACATGCCTGTCCGGGTCCTACGGGCCCAAGAGCAGCTCTCTGACACAAGAAAGGCCGGGCGGCTCCCGAGGCACGTGTCAGGGCACCAGCAGGGGACCTCGGGCATCCGCTCTGCAACTCCAATTAAAAACATCCTCCTGGGGTGCCTGGGTGGCGCAGTCGGTTGAGCGTCCGACTTCAGCTCAGGTCACGATCTCACGGTCCGTTGAGTTCGAGCCCCGCGTCGGGCTCTGGGCTGACGGCTCAGAGCCTGGAGCCTGCTTCGGATTCTGTGTCTCCCTCTCTCTCTGCCCCTCCCCCGTTCATGCTCTGTCTCTCTCTGTCCCAAAAATAAATAAACGTTGAAAAAAGAAAAAAAAAAAATTTTTTTAATAAATAAATAAATAAATAAATAAACGTTAAAAAAAATTAAAAAAAAAAAAAAAAAAACATCCTCGTCACTTTTATAGAAGGAACCGGAGATGAGCAAAGCACTACCAGCAGGAGCACACTGTCACTTGTTCATTCGTCAGCAAACACAAATCCGTGGCCCGGTTAGGAACGCACCAGAGCAAACAGCCCCTCCCGCAAACCATCTCCAGGCCAGGGCCCCTCATGGGACGTGCAGCGAGGGACAGACACCCACCTGCCTGTAGGTGTCCTGGTGAGCGTCGTCGTGCCGGGAGTCGTAATAGTGCTCGATGAACGCAAAGTATTCTTTCTGCTTTCTCTGGAGCGTGGCTGGTCTTCGCTCCACGTTGGCAGGAAGGTAACCCTGGGTGAGAGAAAGAACAAGAACAAAAAGTAGGTGCGGTTGATGCCGACTCACAAAGTGTGAAATCCAAAGGGTCTTAACTGGGTGTGGCCTCCCAAACGGGGGGGGGGGGGGGGGCACGAGGACGGTAAGCGGAAACGGACACGAAGCACATCAGGGAGGCGGCCTCCGAGGCACCGGACGGGCGGCTCGGGCTCGGGCACTCACAGCCTCCACCGCGCCCGCCAAACTTGACCCGTGGCCACAGGACTGGGAGTCAGACGGGAGCCAGGCTTGAAGTCCGTGCTGTTCGAGAACAGGACTGAGATGAAGCCCTGGTTCTAAACGGCTCGTGTGCCTCAGAGAACTCGGAAGTCTGCACGGTCTTCTGACCAGAGTACATGCAGGTGCTCGTGTGTGCTCATGCATACGTACAACGTACACACAGACATGTGCACGTGTGTGGGCGCGCGCACACACACACACACACACACACACACACGTACGCACATCTGGAGAGATCGTCGCTCATGCAGATTTCCTCCTCTCTCCAAAGACTCGTGGGCGACTGGCAGCCGCAATCCCAGGACATAAAGTGAACTCAAACCCAGAAGGACCCAGGCGGCTCAGGGTGGTCACGAAGAGCCCAGTCTCCAGGGCCAGACTATTGGTGTTGTACGGGCTTTTTATTTTGCTGCTTCTACTTTCTTTAACTTTTGGTTTATTTTTTTGTTTTGAGAGGGAGAGGGAGAGGGAGCCCAAGCAGGGGAGGGGCAGAGACGGAGGGAGAGGGCTTGGGAGAGAATCCCAAGCAGGCTCCAGACCGTCAGCGCAGAGCCCGACGCAGGGCTTGAACCCACGAACCATAAGATCAGGACCTGAGCCGAAATCAAGAGTCTGACACTTAACCCAGGCGCCCCTCTTTGCTTCTGCTTTTTAAATCAACATTACCGACGTGTCACATGTAAGATGAAATGTGCCTCTTTCAAGTAAACCCTTCCATGACATCTGACAAGGGTACACAGCTGCGTCACTACGGCCCCCGTGAAGACGTGGAGAATCTCTGTCTCTCCAAAACCTTCCCCTGTGCTCATCCCCCTCTCCACCAGGAGAGCCCAGGGAGCCGCACAACTCCTCGCGGACCGCCCAGGCCTGGCCTAGAACGTCACGCAAATGGAATCATTCGGGGACCCACGCTTTGTTTCCGCTCGGCCTGGCGTCTTTGTGATTTTTCCAAACTGACGAGGGGACCGGCAGCCCATCCCTCGGCTCACTTCACCCCACGGAGACCCCGCGGCCTGCCGGCCACTCACTTCCTGCTGAGCGTCCGGGGTGTTTCTAGTTCGGGGCTACTATGAATAAAGCTTGTTGCTACTATTCTTGTACAAGGTTTTTATGGCTACAAGCTTTCCTCTCTCATGGTTAAACACCTAGGAGTGGAGTATTGGCTCCCCGCGCATGTACGTGGTTCGTTTCCTAACAAACTGCCAGACCTTTCACAAGACATGATGTGGTTTCACACTCCAGCTAACAGAGGATAAGAATTTCAAATGCTCCACACCCTCCCTGATAGTATTGCCCGTCTTTTCTTTTTTAATTTTTTAATGGTTATTCATTTTTGAGAGAGACAGAGACAGAACGCAAGTGGGGGAGAGGCAGAGAGAGAGGGAGACGCAGAATCCGAAGCAGACTCCAGGCTCCGAGCTGTCAGCACAGAGCCCGACGCGGGGCTCGAACCCACGAACGGTGAGATCATGACCTGAGCCGACGTCGGACGCTTAACCAACTGAGCCACCCAGGTGCCTCTCTTTTTTTAATTTTGTTAATGTTTATTTATTTTTGAGAGACAGAGAGAAACAGAGCACAAGCAGGAGAGGGGCACAGAGAGAGGGAGACACAGAATCCAAAGTAGGTTCCAGGCTCTGTGCTGTCAGCAGAACTGGATGTGGGGCTTGAACCCATGAACCGCAAGATCATGACCCAAGCCAAAGTCAGATGCTTAACTGACTGAGCCACCCAGGCACCCTGTACTGTCCATCTTTAAATATTAGCATTCTGGGGGTGCCTGGCTGGCTCAGTCAGAGCATGTGACTCTTGATCTCAGGGCTGCGAGTTCAAGCTTCATGCTCAGTATAGAGATTACTTTAAAAAAAAATAAAATCGGGGTGCCTGGGTGGCTCAGTCGGTTAAGCGTCCGACTTCAGCTCAGGTCATGATCTCACGGTTCGTGGGTTCGAGCCCCATGTTGGGCTCTGTGCTGACAGCTCAGAGCCTGGAGCCTGCTTCGGATTCTGTGTCTCCCTCTCTCTCTGCCCCTCCCCCATTCATGCTCTGGCTCTCTCTGTCTCAAAATAAATAAACATTAAAATAAATAAATAAATAAATAAATAAATAAATAAATAAATAAATGAAATCTTAAAAAAATAAATATCAGCCATTCTACTGAGTGGCTTTAATCGCACATCCCCGATGATTAACAATGTTCAACATCTTCCCACGTACCCAGCTGCCACTGCTTCTCTTCTCTGGTGAAGTGTCTGTTCAAATCTTTTGCCCATTTCTTAAACCAGGTCATCTTCCTAGTGAGTTTTATGGTTCTGTCTTCTAGAAGCAAATACACATTAAGATTATATTCTCCTAATCTGGGCCCTGCCTCTTTGTCTCAAACAGCCTAACTTTTAAATTTCCATGAAATCCAACTTATAAAGTGTTTCTTTTATATTTAGTGCCTCTTCTGTCCTACATAGGAAAGATTTCCTGCTGGTCTCTTCCCTGGATGTTCTGAAGCTTTACCTGGCTACCTCCTGCTCATCCCTCCAGCGTCTCTTCGACGGTACTTCAGGACGCCTGACCCAACCCGAGGCCAGGCTGGTCCCTCAGGGCTCCAGCTGCTCCTGGCACGAGACCCCCACAGAGCCAGCCCCTCACCGCGCCCGCCACATGGCAGCCAAACTTTCATTAAGTGAATTCACGTATGAGCAAGTGAACAAATAAATCCCACGTGGTATTTTCCGCCTTTAAGATGCTCCCACATCTGCAGCAGACCTGTGTTTGCTGCTGAACATCTATGCCTCCCTTGTTTCCACAGAGCCCTGAAGATCCTCCAGGAACCACACATCCCTGTTCTCAACCCCTTCCTTCAGGAGTGTTCCTGATGGGCCACCCCACTGGCCACAGGGGCTGACAGGCTCAGAGGCAGAGAGGGGACCCAATGCAGGCACAGAAGGCAAGCCCCATGGCTTTTCTTTGCTTCTTCCTGTGAATCGGGGAGAACGTGCAGAGACTGGAGCTGTGGCAGCTGCCCTGTGGCCATGCGGGAGAACCACAGGCTGTGGGTCCGTCACAAAGAGCTGACCTGCAGAGCGGAGCTCAGAGAGTCACTGGCCTTGATGAGGTCGGCCTGAATCCAACCACGTCTTCTCAGTTGTGCGAGCACATCCGTCCCCTTTGTTTCCCCAAGGCATTTCTAGGAGCATCGATTCTCAATGACACTCCTGCACACATTTGCTTTCGCACACCGGGTCACACCGTTAAGCCTCATGTCCATAAACGCATACTGGAATATAACATGCGAGCACCATCCAAACGGTGGGAGGAATTATCATAACCACACCTGGCTCGAGGCCCCTGGGAGCCTCCTAACCACTGTCCTTCACCTCCTCCCTGGAGCTAATAAGTCCCTAACTTCTAACACCAGGTAAATGTTGCCTATTTCTGAACCTTCTACAAATGGAATCATTTCTTCTGTCTGACCGCTCAAACTCAACATTACATGTGAAAAGCCCACTCATGTTTGGAACATGTTAAGAATAGCTTTCACTGTTGTGTGTTCCCGCGTACAAATTCCATGCTACCGTCAGCAGACATGTGGACTGCGCCCACTCTGTGTTCTCAACATTCTCGTTCCTGCCCTTCACGGCCCATGACGTGCATTCTGTTAGATAGTTACCGAGGAGGCGAACCACTGGCCATGCCCACCTTTCACAAGTTCTGCTGCAGAATTTTCCGGAGTGATTACACTCCCGCTGGAGGTACGTGGCAAGTTCTACATCCTTGCCAGCACTTGGTGTTGACAAACTTTTTCTTTTCAGCCATCCCGATGGGCCTGCAGCGGTCTCTGTCAGAAGGCAGCTTTGGGGCACCTGGGTGGCTTGGTCAGTTAATCGTCCAGCTCTTACCTTCGGCCGAGTTCGTGATCTAGAGGCTCATGGGTTCGCGCCCCAAGTCGGGCTCCGTCCTGAGCGGAGCCTGGTTGGGACTGTCTCCCTCTCTCTCTGCCCCTCTGATACTCACGCACATGTGCGCTCACTCCCTCTCTCAAAATAAATAAACTTTAAAAAGACAAAACGAAGGTGGCTTCGCTCTGCATTTCCCAGAAGACTGACGGAGCTGTTCTGCGTCCACACCCGGGAAACGCGAGGACGAGCATAGCCCGGTTTTCTATTGGCTCGTATTCGTCTGCAGGCATATCACACTCTCCGCGGGGGAGTCCTCCGTAAGTCTCTACTCCTCCTCCCCGTGCTTTGCCTTTTCTTCCCACTAATGATATCTTTTGATGAAGACAAGTTCCTAGCTTTAATGTGGCCCCATTTATTAATCTTTTATGATTAGTCCTTCTCGTGCCCTTTGTAAGCAAATGTCCTTCATCCAACCTGCCATGCTTACACATCGCACTTTGAAATCACGACCGTGTCCCCAACGTCGTTAAGTAGTGGCCTCCAGCGGGGCCGGCACAGGACAGCACGCTGGGAACCGCTGTCCTCGGGTCCGAGCCAACGCGGGGCTGCTGGTGTTCTACATCGGCAGAGCTGAGCGGTCACCAGGCACTGAAGTCTATCCTGCAACACCGCTACCCGGCCTCTTCCAGAAAGTCTGCCAACCCGAAGGCCTTCCGCCACGTGTACTTGTGTTTGCACGTGTTTATGCTCAACCGTCCTCGTTCTGAACAGGGTGACAATCTTTTCCCTTGTCTGGTATTCTGAGCCACGTCTGACTTCTTCCTGAGGCAAAATCCCCACAAG